AAACTAATCTACATCTCAATCATTAGATAGCTAGTTATCTAGTTATCTAAGGTTTTGCTACAGATCAAGACAAACTAGCTAATCTACATCAATCGTTAGCTAGTTATCTTACATTTTGCTAACATTTACTAACTTAAGATATGACTCTATATATGTTGCATGTGTCTTTTAACCATCTTCAAAATGTGGTTGTCTTTTCAATATTGACGAGTCTAGCACATAGCATATCTAAGTACAGTAAAGAAGGAAGTTGACCGAGGTTCTGATCGAGGCTTGCTCAACTGTTATTGGAGCAGAGCATAAAGGGGTGGGGCAATAATTCAGTAATAATTCGTGCACACTAAGTGTATAAGCCCATCATTATTTGAACATTATTTGCTGTTGTTTCACAATTGTCCCTGCAGCTGTAGCTCAGAGGCAGAGCGGATAGTCCACTAAACAGAAGGTTGTTGGTTTAATTCACAGCTCCTCCCGCTGCATGTTGTTGAAGTATCCTTGAGCAAGATACTGATCCCCAAATTGCTCCTGATGCTGTGTGAATGTGCATGAATACGTTTCTGTTCGATGGACTTTGCCATCGCTGTGTTAATGTGTGTAAAAGGGCGAATGTGGCACGTAGTGCAAAAAAAAGTGCTTTGAATGGTCGTAAGACTAGAAAGGCACTATACAAGTACAGGTCCATTTACCATTTACCATATTACATACACCATACACTCACTATCCTTAAGCACCTTCAATTATATGGCAGCAATAAGCAGTTCATGTGGAAGTGTGTGATGTATCCCCTCAACTAAGAAATACTGACTGTGCCTGCTCCACACTTTTTCACTTTTTCAGCGCTCAGGATTTAATGGTCTGCTATCTGTTTTGTTTGTGGTTTTAGGCCAGCAGTTCCCCAGCCACACCTACATCTGCTCTCTGTGTGGAACCTTCTGCCCTGACTCTGTGTTCCTAGAGGAACATGTTAAACTGATACACTCGGACTCTGCCGATGCCCAGGCCCTGCAGTCCACCTGCTCAGCTGCAGCCACCATCGGCGACGGCAGCAGTGACTCCAGGAGGGGTGGAGGAGGGGGACAGAACGAGGGCGGAGCAGGGGCTGGTGCCGGCATTGGTCGGGGAGGGGGTACTGTGAAAAAGGAGATTAAAATTGAAGGGGGGTACGAGTGCGGGGATTGTGGCCGCCATTTTAACTACCTTGGCAACTTGCGGCAGCACCAGCGTATCCACACCGGAGAGAAGCCCTTCATATGTCCAGAGTGCGGGGAGAGGTTCCGCCACGCAGCCCGCTTAAAAAGTCACAGGCTGGTGCACAGTGGAGCCCAAAGCCCCTTCCCCTGCCCCCAGTGTGGGAAAGGGTTCTCAGTGCTTTCTGGACTCAAGAGACATCAACGGGTACACACTGGTGAAAGCCCATATGCCTGTCCACAGTGCGGCCGGCGCTTTAAGGAGCTGGGGAACCTGTACACCCACCAGAGGATCCATAGCGGGGCCACGCCCTACTGCTGCCAGCAGTGTGGACGCAGCTTTCGTCACCTGGGAACCTACAAGAGCCACCGTTGTACGCCAGCACAGTAACCAGCCCAGCTGCTATGCTTTCTACGCTTTGTGATACCAAGAAATTTGAAGTGTATGTTAGAGACAGGACGTGGTGTTGAGTCTTCATTGTGTATCCTGAGATGCTGCCCAAGCTTTCATGTTCCGTCACATTCATGACATTTCACCCCTGCATCAGGCATCAAGAAAAGCTGAGTCGTTGAGCTTGACCTCGGAAACTGCAGTTTGGCAAAACAGTGTTGACTCAAGGTTTACATAAACTGCATCACAGATGGCAACAGATTATCAGCAGATGGAGTTTGCTCAGTTATCATGAAACTGTTTTTAGGACTTGAACTTAGAAACGTATATAGAACCATTTGGGTAGTCCTTGTTGGAAACTGTTTGGAAAAGGCTAGGCACTTTTCTCTGGAGGTGATTGGATAAACCATCTTTCACAATCAAACAATCAGATCAATGAACCATATAACGTAGTCAAGCCACTCGGGACAAAGAGAAAAAATCTTGTGCATCAAGAAAAGTCTTGCTGTTCTGCTCTGCTTTCAAAGAAAAAATACTCAGCACTGACATAACTGATGCTAGCAGAATCTATGCTAACCTCTTTAGCAATTGCCATTGTTGTTTAATGAACTTCTTTTTGCATCACACCTTGCACCTATATAGCTGCCTCAGAGGACACTGATTGGTTCAGTACCACTGTAGTATGGCCACAAACATATAGTCTGACACCTGGCAAGATGGATTCTTGTGTGCTCTTGTGTCCAGCTACCTCGCAAGGTTAAAGAAACTTTCAAAACTACAGAAACATAACAGTTCCATGACAACAGAGCAGAACCCATCCACAGACGGGGCAGAACAAGTTAGTTACAGTGAAGTTAGAATGTTTTTTTTTTTTCTAAAAATCAGAGGCCATGAGACACCACACAGATAAGAGGTGGTTACATTTTTAAGCCAAGTCATCAGGAAGGGAGGTGGATCCAGGCCTGAAACCCCAAAGGTATTATTAGTCACATTTCTGGTCACTCACTTTAAATTTGACCTCCAAATGAAGTGGTTCAGGTAATCTTGATAAAGTGTGTATTTGAGTAAATTATAACAAGGTAATCAGTCATAGCAAACATAATTTGACCCTTGTGTAGTAATACAGCTGAGAGCAGATCAGCGCAGCATGAGAATGCAGTTATGTTTGGTAGCCAACTCATTGTCAAACACTCAATGGTCAGCATAGCATGCTGGAGGCGTCCTAAAACCCAGAAGTTTTGGTCCCCTCTTCTTAATGTCAATGAGTTATTTGAATGGTTTGGTCAGATGCCTGAAATAATGTCTGTGGTTAACACATGCTTAAGAGATTTTCCCGTTTTGTTCTACAATATAAAATGTCAGTAAATACCACACCTTTGAGTCTTAAAAAAGGGGATAAATGAGACTACAGATGTTGTCTGCGACATTAAACATCAGCACGCCGAACACGGAGACTTATCTACTCACTAGTCCGCCTTGTTGTGTTTATATTCATGCTCTTCCAAACTATTCTGATTCAAACTTTACGATAGGGCTGTATTCAAAATTAACTGTCAACAGGCCGCTTGAAGTAGTTTGCCTTGTGATCAAGCAAGGGGCGATTCACTATCAGCTTGACTTAAAACATACCCTATTGACCTGTCAGTAAACCAAGCTATTAATGTTGTTTATTACTAAAATCGCGACACCAAAGCATCTGAGAAGCTTCTGTCGACTTTGTGCGAAGCAGCTGTCTAACCCAAGTGAGGCACCACAGACAAGTGGAGCGTCTGGCCCCGTTTTAGAAGCTCGTAAAAAGGCTAAGATGCTAATAAGAGTGAAAATAAGTTTTATGCGCATGGATATGGGCATATATGGCCCGCTGTTGTGGTAAGAGTAAATTCTTATCCTAAAGTATAGCTTTTACATTATGTTTTCAAATTCATTTGAATAAATTGCGTGTCATTTGAAATTCATTTGAACGTGATTTTTGGAAAAAGTGACTTTATACTTTATAACTTGTAGATTTTAATTACAAGATTTAATTGCAAGTTGGAAGTTTAGCGGTGGTGACATTAAAGTCATGCAACCGCGGTGTAGTTTGTAGCCTAATGTTAGCATTTTGCTTCTGGTGATTGCATTTACGCTTCAAAAATGTGTTAATTCTTGAAAATTATCTTGCTGAACAAAACGTGTAAGTATCATAAACCTTTGTTTACCACAGAGCTTATTACCTGCAATAATCCAATGGGAAAATCACATCCGATTTTTGTAGAAGAAACCAGGATGATGCTAACTTCAGGGTTGGACTTAAAAAAAATACATAATTGCTGCAGCTCTCTCTAGTACTTGTATGTACTTTGACTTATATAACATTGCAGGACTTTTACTAGTAACAGAGTGTTTTTGCACTGTGGTATTGGTACTTTTACTTTAAGTTAAAGATCTGAGTACTTATTCCAGCACTGCTGAGAAGCCTTTACCTTCACTTATCCGTTATTCATACTGCCTGGATTGTGTTTTATATCTCACTGCTACCTATAGAAACAACATGTTTCAGACTCATATTTCCTTCAAAATATGGGCTCCATGTTTTGGTGGCGCTTCAAACCTAGAACAACATGGTAGCACCTTTGGAATTTACTGTAATGGACATGAATCAAGGGTTAGGGTTGGCGTTCTGCTTGTAGTGCTCAAAGAAAAAAAAATGGATTGGAAAAACTCAACAGCAATGTCTCTTTCCATAAATCATGACCTAGTTACTCATGAAAATCCACAGACCTTATTGTGAGCCGGTTCATGTTGGAATTATTCTCTTTCTACTGAACAACACCCGGCAACCGTACCTTAATGTTAGCTGTCTCAATGGTGAAAGGTGAGCTAGTTAATGTTACAGCTTATTAATATTTACTTGCTGTTCTGTCATAAGTCTCTCCTCTGTGAGTAGAAGCATGTTTCCTTCAGCGTGGTGATATGTAGAAAGAAAATAGTTCCTACATGAAACTGCTCACAACAAGGTCTGTGGATTATCGGATAGCTGAGTGGCATCTGGTTCCATTATATTGGAGAGAAGGCAGACATATCAATCACAGATATTTCCAAAACTCAACTACTCACAGCAAAGCAATATAGATGGATAAATAGTGCTACAAGTAAAAATATGTATTTCTGATTTTGGGGTGAACTGTCCCTTTAAAGCTGCAGTAGGCAACTGTTATAAATAGGGATGTCCGATAATATCGGCCCTCCGATATTATCGGCCGATATTCACTAAAAAATTTAATATCGGGA